TTTTCTAACACCTTCGTCAGATGGTCCTGCTGTAAAGTTTCCACACAATTGAAACTTCAAGTCTAATTAGAGTCGGCGAGAAGGGCAAGTGAGTTTCTCGACTAAGAGAATGAGTGACAAGTCAACAGGGTTTCTTGACATTGCCGAGAAGATGCCAATAATCCTGAATACTTGGTTTAAATTGTATTTAGTCTTTTGTGGAAATTAAAAAGACTAAATAACACATATTCAGTAACCAAAGCAATTATAACAATAATAACTTGATGAATCCTATACGGATCAATGATGCCCTACTTAACGTGGTGAGACACAGACTACGAAGCCTACGCCTCCGTCTGTCCTCGCAAATTTCCCTACGCCCCTCCTTCACCATCAAGCGAAAAAAAAGACGGTATCACTCGGGTGACGATGCAGAAGACTTAACTCAAAGGCTTCTATTCAACTTGAGGATGATTTACATACTGTAAATCTAGCGCTTGAGACATCCGGCTTTACTTCCCCTCCGACGGAAGGCGTACGAAGGATTTTTTCGCCCTTAAAAATCCAGTGTCATGTGACTTTCCATGCGATTCCACCAAGTTGGGAAATGGGTACGGGATTCCCACAGATAGTTGCCTTTCCCGCCGCTATTTGCGCTGAGAAGCTCGTGACATGCAAGGAAGCGGGCCACTGCTACCAGTAGGAGACCTTGACATCACTGGCGTAAGTCAGGCACGGCAAGGTCGTGGGCAAGGTAACTAGCTCACTAGAGTTCGCGGGCACTGCGACCAGAGAAATTGGCGCGAGATTTAAAAGTAACGGCTGTACTCGCATAAATTGCTCCGGAGGGGCGGTAGATAACTGGGTAAAAGGCCCATATCAGTCTTATAGAGCCTTAAATTTAGCTCTATTAATTCTTGTTTTCTCCACTAAATCAATGGAGTTATCCATTAAAATGTAATAATATATCAATCAGATGTGAAATTGTCAATTGCGAGTAAAATGAAATATGTTGGCTGGAAAATCTATTGGTTTTATCTAGAGTGCAATAATTGCTTTAACTTCCTACGTTCGGATTAGGTTTAACAGACAACAGATTATCTCTTGAAAGAGCTACAGAAAGCGAGAATTGTTAACTTATAGAGACTTGTTCATTTATTTCACATGTCTGGTACAACAGATAAATGATTTAATGAAACATAACACAAAACGAAAATAAAAGAATTCACCATTTAAACATACAGTATTTTCGCCCCTAGACAAAAATATTGTGCCTAGTAGAACATAAAAGAGAAAAACCTGAAAAAATAATACATAGTAAATACTATAATCATAATTGAAATATTGCTTGTTTGAAAGAACAAATCTGGCAAATACTTTCGTGTGAAGCCACTATTCTCCGCTTCGCACCGTTCCAATTTGCCAGTGCACTTTAGGAATGTTACATCGATGACGATGTTTTGTGGAAACATCAATTTTTAAACATCAGTGTATTCAGGACAAGAATGTTTTAAAATCCATTTTTTTCATTTCCGATGTTTTATTTCTGAAAGAAAAATCCCCATGGTCACAATACTGTAAGAGTTAGAATATAATAACATTGTTGTTCAAATGTTGGAACGAAAGAACGCTGGTTGTACTTCATTGACCAGACTCTCCGAAATGACTACCACAATCTTGCATTTCTTCTTTCTTCATATTCATTTCGCACATTGAGAAGTGGTCAAGAAATGCGCTGTGGGCGTAGGGTATGCCCCTTCTCACGTACCCTTATTCGGCGAATTGATAAACATGAACACTCAAATTAAATTTTGTTGCATATGGATTTAATATTAAAGATCACTAAACCAGCTTGAAAACATCGATGTTGAAAAAACATAGATTTTTTAGTCGATATATTATTAAAATCGATGTGTTAATTTTGAGCATCGATGTTTTGTTATCGATGTCGCGTTCACCCCTTTCTGGGTTTGGAGGGGAAGTGAGAGGGGAGTCGGGGAAGGTTGCCCGTGCCCGTAGGAGCGCCGGGCTTCCCAAGCGGGCAAGCAGCTTGTGCGGGCGTCGTTTGACACGGCTGGCCTAGTGAAGAGAAGAAAGCTGAAAGCGGCTCCACACGTTCGGTATTCGAGAAGCGAGCGACCGCTCGCCGAATTCCGACTTGTGTGGACGAGTTGGTTGCTATTCGCCGAGCGCCGAACGTTCGATATTCATCCTACCCACTGCGTGTCTGTCTTTAGGACACATCAAAGGGAGCGAACATTCGCCGAACACATCAGCTGTTGGGGATTGGGCGAGCAGTAGCTCGAAACTTGCGGTCGCAACTTGCTCCGAACGCGGAATTGCCTTTACACAATGCAATGCAAACACAAACATCAGCATAACGCATAGACATAAACATTAACAAAAGTTATAGACTGAAATATTCACAATGTATAACATAAACGTGAGCATAATAAGAGTTTCTCTTGGCTGTGAAACTTTCTGGTTGGATGTGAGAATCGCTTTCCCGATATCGACTGTGTCCATGACTCATGGTACATTGCGACTTCGATCCTATTTCGATACTCGATTTTGAGTAAACGTACTGTGGTTGACTCCTTTCTTGTGTCTTAAGCATAAGCACAGAATATTTAAGCTTTTAAGTTAACTTCTTACGTGTTATGCTGATGCGAACGCATTGTGAATGAGTCCGCTTACGGGCGTAGTCACAACTTTTGTGTTAACGTCATGCTTATGTGCATTGCGAATGGACCTTTGCGCGCGTACACCCTTTTCTGGATGTGGAGGGGAAGTGAGTGCGGAGTGAGGGGAAGACGCGCCGGGCCAGTAGCTCGCGTCTGGTCGAAGAGAAGTGAAGAGAAGAGGGCGTGGGACTCACCGATCTTGCAGCGGCACTCGCCGGGGCGCTTGCAGTAGCCCTGCAGCGGGTCGCAGCCCCTGCGGCAGATGGGCACGTCGCACAGGTCGCCCGTCCACCCGGCCAGGCACACCAGCTCGCCCTCCTCCGTGCACGTGTAGTGGCTGTTCTCGTGCTGGCGGGCCGGCGCCTCGCACGCCTGCCAACACACACACACGCACTTCGCCGACTCCTCATTTTCACTATCTCGCTACCACGTACGCAGTAGAGAGAAAGTAATGGAATGCAGCGGGCAAAAAAGGCGATTTGTCGGAAGAAAAGGCGATTTGCCGAGCCCTGGCGACAAAAAAGTGCCTAAATTTAGAAAAAATTGTTCAACACGTGGTGTAGCCAGAATCCATGTGTTATGTGGGTTCTTGATACCGAAAAATTGAATGACGGCAAAACGTCCGTCCGTCCGTCCGTGAACAACGCTTGCGGAACCGTCCAGCCGATTTCCTCCAAAAATGATATTCTGTAATCGATCTGGCTGATGTCGCCGCCCCTTGAATTTAAAACCAATATTTAATTTTGGGGTGTACTAAGCATGAAGCCCCTGAGGCATTTTCCAAATTTTCAAAAAAAGTTTGCCATCATTTTTGGTTAAATTTTGTTGTTGAATAGTGTGAAGGACGTTTTATAGAATGGTGCAGGTCTCTTGTTCGTTAAAACCCCCTTTTTTTAACATCAAACGTTCAAAATTAGTTTGGCGAAGATAGACATTTTCCCTTAATGAAATCAGATAGATTTTGAAATAAATTCACGTACAATGTTTCGAAAATTTGAGTAGTTTTCGCGTAATTTGTTGAAAGAACGGGTGGGAAAGTACGTGCTGTCTTAGCACCACTAGTTTTTTTTTAAATTTGTGCGTTATTTACAATTGCATTACCATGCCTTTAACGAGGTAGATGCTCATGTACTTGCACCTACCTTGTCAAAGCCAATAAATTGCAAATTAGACAAATGTAAATAACACATTTTTTCAAAACGAAAAACTGCCGCTTCTTGCAAGAAGTCGACGACGGGACGAAACGGGATATAAGTCGTGTGATGGGAGGAACCCAATTAATGCATTTATAAGTGATTGCGGGCGCCAACTGCGATGGTTGTTAGTTCCGTAAGTGTAGCGCATGTGTGTAATTGTGCGAAATGGCGGTGATCTACCCTCATTGGATGGTGAAATATATTTATTTACATAAAAAAACGTTAAAAACTGTGTAACGTTCTATGAGGAGAAGTTAAAGTGAAGTTACAAGATCCGTCACTGACCTCTCTGTGGGCCAGAAAGGCACCACCCACCAGACGGACACCGTCCTAGACAGGCAAGCTCTAAGCCCCCGACCGGTCACGCATTATACGTGGTAGTGTAGTGCATGTTAGTGTGTGTGGAAAGGGTGAGGATAGGTCAAAGAATGCGAAAGAAAGTTCACGGTGTGTGGCCCGTTTGATAGGGCACTGCTCCAGCATTCGCCTGGTGTTGATCGGAGAGACCACATAAAACTACCGATCAGAGCAGCCGGTCGCTATAATTCTCCTCCTGGCAGCGTAGAACTCGACTTAGCTAACTGGCTAATGTCGAAAACCCTGCCATCGTCGGGGCTCGAACCCCAGGTCCTTCCGGCCGGAGGCCCTGCAGTGACAGCAGTGGATGCCCTGAGCCACCTCTCCTGGTATAAAAATCAGTGTGATTGTGAATCCTCAAAACACTTTATACACTGCACATTACAAGAATGCAGAATCAGGAAATTTGAAATAAGCTGGAATGATACTAATTTTCACCTCTAGCAGTTGAAAGGCTGATTTCTTTAGATATTGCACGGTAGAAACGAAAATTCACACTGGATATCATGTAAATACGACACTGCTTTGTATGCTCGGTTTTTAAAATTTAGTTTCTCATTTTTATTGTACTAGTAAACACTACCTGGACACGTACAAACATTCCGCACTTTGTAAATTATTGTTTTTTAAACAAATATAATTCTGTAACTGTAATGTTTCTTACAGCGCGAACTACCAAGCGGTGGTAACCTTCAGAAATGTAATACAACTGCCAAAGAAGCTCTCATTGTGAAGCTCGCTGCTTAAGTAACAAATTGAGGGACAAAAATCCCGTTTTAAAGACCTCAAGAGCGTCGTTTTGTGTCACGCGCGATGCTAAAAGTCTTCCGATGTATTGCATATGGTGAGTTGGAGTAATTCCCTACAACAGTAAAAATCTTAAAGTGTTAAAGGGTTTTTTTTTCGATGGCTTCTTATAAACTGTACAAGTTATAATTTATATTTAGTGTATTGTGTAACATTGGTTGGAATGCGGAAGGCTAATACGCCAATAACGCGAAATGAAACTAAATAATAGTTTTTCACAAAATGTTTTTTTTTCAAACAATGGACCAAACGAAGCGATATGTTTTATTTTCGACACCCCGCCTGCATTTTTTAGGACTTACTAACAATGAAAATTGCCAGTAGTGAGAAATTTTAAAACATTATTGTAACTGACGATATAGGAAGAGCACAAAGACGTTTCCGAAATATTCATCGAGATTCTATGGAAGGCGAGAAAAAGGGTACGTTTCACGTTTGAATTTCAATTACTACGACTATTTCTGTTCTTGTGTTTGAGATACGGTGGAGGTGGAGTTTTACGCTGCTACTGTTTGGTGAATTGTAGCGGCTAGCCACTCTGATCGGTAGTTTTTCGCGTTTTCTTTATCAATACGAGGCGAATGCCGACGCAGTACCCTAACGAACAGTCCACGGTCCGCGCGCGTTCCGCCCTTCCCCATCCTTGTTCTGACCTCATCACTCACTTACACACACTTACTTGCGGTACACTACCCCACATGTCAAAACACCGGTCGGGAGCTCGTTCTGACTGGGTGTTTCCCCGCTGGGTGAGATATGTGGAGGGGGAAATCCCTCGCGACATGTGTCATCCCCCAGCAAGGATGGAATCGCCGCCACATCCCGGAGTAAAACATTAACTACACTAATGAGGTCAATGACCGTTGCTTTATACTTTATAGTCGATGTGCCTGCAAATATCCACCAAGCAAGGAAACAGGCGAGTTTTGCGAGCGCTGTTGTTTTCCGTTACGTCTGTTTTTTTTCCACCTCGGCCATCCAAGTCGGCGTTTTCCCCTGCGCCCAAATCCGCGAAATTCTATTTGTTTGACCGGTATAAATGGTTCAAGACAACAGATGAAGTCACTGGAGACCGGGAGGTCCTATATTTGGGTCCTGACTGTGACAGGATTTTCTACGCTAATTTCTCAGCCATGTGGAATTCACTCGTTGCCTGGAGGAGAATTCTAGCAGTCGTCTGCTCTGATCGGTAGTTTTCCGTGTTTTTTCCGATCAACTCCACAATTACACTAATATGCATTCATTACGATACATGCCGGGAGCTTAGAGCTTGTCCCGGCTGGGGTGGTGATACCTAGTTGTGGAAAACCCCACTAGCCTCCTGTAATTCGGCACCTGATCCAACACCCAGCGGGGGAAGGGGAAATCACCACCCCACTAGCAGGGGGACATGCATTACACATACGGGAGTATTGATCTTCGCAATTCACGCCTCCGGAATCACTAAGCAACCAATCAATCAAGGAAACAAATGAGTTACGTTAGCGACGTAAGCCGCGCAATTCTAATTGTCTGTCGGGTGCAGCACATGCAGTGCCCATTAATGTATGTGTCTGTGGGATGCAGCCGTGGCAGTGGTACGCACCTGCTTCTTCCACTTGGGCACGTAGCCCGCGGGCAGCGCGAGCGGCAGCAGCGCCAGGGCCAGCAGGAGCAGCGGCAGCAGGGGCGGCCTCGGGCACGGCATGGCGGCGACTGGCGGCGGCGCCCGCGCCGCGCCGCGCCGCGGCCTCCTCCTCCTCCTCCTCCGCCCGACGAGGAGACGCTCAGGCGGCGGCGGCGGCGGAGGAACAGGTGGTTCAGCTCGGGAGGAGGCGGCCAGGAGGAGGAGGAGGACGCGAGGGAGCAGCGGGCGGAAGAGATGTGGGGAACGGGGGGCGGCGGCGACGATGTGGAGGTGGCGGAGGAACAGGGGAAGAAACAGGTGACTGAATGCGAGTGAAGGCGGCGAAGGATTTGATGTATAGAAGACGATGACGGAAGGGGGGCGAGGAGGTGGCAGAGTCGTAGGTTGGGAGGTGTTGGATGAGGAGGAGGGGGCAGCGGAGGAGAAGGAGGAGGGGAAGGAAGAGGTGATTCAAATCTGGAGCAGGGGTTGAAGTAGCAAAGGCGATGACAGAGTGGGGGGGAGGGGGAGGAGCTGGCGTAGTCGGAGGTTGAGAGGCGTTGGGGTGCTGACAGAAGGAGAGAAGTGGAGGCGGGGACGGCCGTGGCAGGTGGATATGCCGTGGAGGCGACAGGCGGAGGAGATGGAGGAGGCTGCGAGGGTGCGTCCGTGAGCTTCTGTAGCCGACGAGGAGGCACCGTATCACAGCGCGTCACTCACAAGCGCCGAGACGCCAAGTCCCTCCTCTTTGCCCAGAGTATTGGGCCACTGCCACGACGAAGCCAAGTACCCAAGGGGGCACCCGAACTAAGGCCCCCATCCCGTCTCCTCACTGCCTACACGTTAGGCTACCGACATGAGTATCGCCAAACACCTAGGCAACCTGACAGGGGCTTCTACATGTGGGATCCGGAGCTCTCCGAAGAACGTTCTTCGGCCAACCCTACGCAAAGGTAGACGCGCCACGGGTGGGTTACTGAGCAAGGCACGGCAACACGTAGTTTAGCACCGCCTACTCTTTGCCTCCAGCTCGGAGCTAACGACGTGAGTGGCGCCGCGAAACTCACAGTCCGAGTGGTCGTCTCCACCAGAGACCGTGTCCACCTACGCAGGCTCGATCCCCCCTGCGAGGAGACGGAAGGGGCAGAGACGATGGCGATGTGCCGTGAAGATGGCAGGCGGCGGAGGAGGAGACATCGACGCCGGCGGGAGGAACTCGAGGAGAGGAGGCAGCGAAGGAGTTGCCGGCGGAAGGCGTGGAGGAGCCGTAGAGACGAGGAAGTGGCGGCAGAAGACGAGACGTTGGGGAGACGGAGGCAGAGGTTGAGAGGTGAGGAAGTGCTGGCATAGGAGGCGTGGTGTTGAAGAAGATAGGCCGGAGGACGATAGGGCGACTTCGTGTGGACGCAACAGAAGTGGCGGCATGGTGTGGCAGATGACGCAGAAGGCGGGGAGGACGCTGTGGCGTGGGGGTGGTGGAGGAAGCGGTAGGCGGGATGAGTGTCGGGTCGAAAGTGTGAAGCAGGAGGAGATAGGACGACACTGTCGTAACGCGTAACGCATGCGCAGGGCCGACCCTCAGCCAAACCACGTGCGTTGATCCACTGAGGTCCGGGAACGTCAACTGCTCAAATGGTCTTTAGTCCCGTGAGGGAAGCTTGATTTATCCTTGGTGGTGGAGGAGTCTCTAGGTATCTCCCCCAGCGGCCCATCGCCTCACCCGGGATAAGTCTAATGTGTTCTAATAATCCATAATATTCTATTACTTACTGTCTATCAACCTACTCAGAATGACGGGTCAAATTTAAACGAAAATTATTATAGTTGGTTGGAATTTTTACAGACTTGATAAAACACTGTACGTTATTCGAATCGTAACGTCTTTATTACAAAACTGCTTAACAGCCTTGTTTCATAATATTCTCCAGACTCGTACTGCAGTAAGATGTCTCACGGTCGTTTTTTAGCAAATATCTTTATTTTCTGATACGTTATAACTTATTATCTTAGATATACACAGCATAACTTACGTGGATGGAGAGGCCCGTGATAACGAAGGAAACATGAATAGAGTTGAATGATTATGCATGTTCTCTTATGGAGGGACTTACGAGGGAAGTATGAAAGGGAATTATGGGAGGGAAATATGAAAATATGAACCAAGTCAAGTTAACATGTAGTTAATTAGTAAGTAAGTAAATCTGAATCAATAAAATTAGTTTGAAATCACGTATGTACCACGGGCGTTGACTGATTCTAATGCTCCCAGGCGCCTAAGAGCCCTGGGGCATTTCGTGGCCCTTGATGCGTAAATCGCTGTTAACTGGACGCCGTGCGGGGCCCTTGGCTGCGTCGGCCAGCGCAGCGCTCGGCCTCCTGTGGGCGCAGCGGCGTCTGCGGGCGAGGGCGGCGGCGGCGGCGTCCCGTTGCGGTCGCTGACCCCGCCGCGCAGCGGGGGGGGGGCGGGGGGGGAGGGGGTGGTAGTCACGGGCGACGAGGCGAAGTGGGTCTCCGGGGCAGCGGCGGCCGCGTCATGGCCGGCCCCGGCAGGACTCTCAACTGGAACTGGCTGAACCCCCCCGCACAGCCCTACGAGAGGACAACGTGCGCTACTAGCAAAACAGCGATCAGGCGCCGATCCACGGACAGGGAGATCCCCCCTAAAAGTCTTCCGTAACTTTTCATTTCAACCAGTCACGAAACTTGCTAGCAAAAATATTTTCCGATAAGCTTAAAACGAATCCCATGATGTGAGTGTAGCCTGCGACATTTTACAAAAGCTGTAATGACTCATTTTGACACACGAAAACATTTTTAATAAATTAATTTCCCTTCCCAATATTCGTCTCTGGATCCACACCTGATAGTGATTCACTACTTATTCTCTAAGACTAATGACATGAGGGGGCTTTTCTAATTCTGAACAATACTATCTGTATTCACCGTAAACATAATTAAACACGTTTCAGGAAAAGCCATTGAAATGTTTGATATGTAAGCAAGTTTTGTACATGTATGTTGCACTCACTGGCGTATCCGGGGGAGGGGCGTGAGGACCGTCCCCCCCCCCCAAAAAAAGGCCAAGACTTTTTCTTTTTCCTTCCCTTACTTAGCGAAATCGATTTAAATATTTATGTATGTTCTAATTATGGAATTATTTAAACAATAATATTCTATAAATATGAACAGTATATAAATAATATACAGTATAATCACAAATATGTTTAAGAACAACTACATTCCAACTTCACAACGTAGTTTGTTGCGATAGCGACGTAATGACGAGTGACAGCAGATCAAGGTTCATTCTATTAATTTTAAGATATTAATATTCAGTGTTTATATTAGAAAACCCCAACCAGGTATCTCTCACCAGCAGGGCACCGCTCCAGTCAGGACAAGCTCTATGCTCTCCCGGCATGTGTGGTAGTGTAGTGCATCTAAGTTTGTGTGTAAGGGGAGAGGGTAGGACAAGGAAGAGGAAGGAAAGATCGCGCGATGTCCGTGATCCGTTGTTAGGGTTCTGCTCCGGCATTCGCCTAGTGTTGATCTTAACCATCACAGCCGGGAAGAGCTCTAAGCTCCCCACCGGTCTCCCACCATGTGAGGAGTGTGGTGCATGCTAGTGGAAGGGGAGAGGGTAGGACAAGGAAGAGGAAGGAAAGATCGCGCGCTGGTGTTGAAGGGGGAAACCACGGATAGCCACAGATGAGAGCCGCCGGCCGCTGCGTTGGCGCTAGCTGCCTGGCGAGTGGCGGCGAATGCGTGTGAGGGAAGTGGCGCAGAGCTCTTCTCGGCCTTGACTGGGCGTCACGCGCGCGCGGTGGGCGTTGCGGGTGACATGCTTCCCGCTTTCGCTCCGGCAAACGCGACCTGGGAGCCACGCCCCCCCCCTCTTGGGTTGTGGCCCCTCACACCGACTGTTCAACTCCCAACGAAAGTTTGGGATTCTACACCGCAATCACACAGCGCGTGTGCGACCGGGAGAGGTGGCTCAGGGCATCAACACATGTCACTGCGGGGCCTCTGACCGACAGGCTCTAGGTTCGAGTCCCGACGGTGGCCGCGCGGTCAGCATCCCCCCCCCGTGCGCACTCTGTGGGTGTGACAGAGGAAGATTGAGGAATGAGTCGGGTATGAAGAACGAGGATGGTGGAACAAAGAATCGGTCTTAGTGAACCGGCTCTCAAAAACGAAAATAAAGGAACGAGGAATGAGATATGAAACGGGGGACTGACGAATAATGTATGTCTCGAACAATACTAGTACTATTTTTAGTTAATAGAGTTTGTTAATAGAGTAACTGAGAATGGGGTATGGGGAAAGAGAAGTGAAGACTGATGCTCATGAACTGAGGACGAGAAGGGAGATTGAGGCGAGCAGCGGCCAACGGCCCCACGCGACCTCCGCGCCGTCAGCTGTTTGCGTGACGTCACCG